TAGCTGTTAAGTAGATTAGCTTCCTCTACACGTACTAGTGTACGTGAAGTTTCGTGGCACCCCAAACAAAAGGTGCCCCGTTACACCTGGTAGCACTTCGTAGTCCGTCCAACAAATAATAAGTGTCCGTCCAACATGAACATGTTGGACGTAGAAGACGACAGCTTTCACGTCACACGTGAAGGCTACTCCCATCTGAGTGACTTAAAATGGGAGATAGTCGGCCGCATGAGTGTGCTCATGTGTGAATTCTCCATTAGTGGTATGTTGGAGTCTGTAAACAGAGACTAGCAACATGCTACTATCAACAAGTTACTACAAGGGGAACTTGCCGTTCGAAAGACAAAAAGTAGGCTTACTACAGCAGCAAGGCTCTCATCAGTCGATGGGCGGGCCGACGCACATGCGTCAACCTGAAACCTTGAAGGTTGATATCTCAAGGTACAAGGGAACCGATGAAGGTTCCTTTTTGAGATGGTTCGTCGAGTTAGACGACGCCATCAGGGCCCGTCACATTGAGGGTGACGAGATGCAAGTCACCTTCGCCCTGTCAAATTTGACGGGACGAGCAAAGACTTGGGCCTTAGGGCTCAAGCTTCACGACCCAAACGTGTTTGAGTTGTTAGAGATCTTAAAGTCTCGGCTTAAATAGACGTTTGAGCCGCCGAGAGCCAAGTACAGATCATGCTCTGCACCCTTGAGGAGAAAGCAAGGTAAGCGTGACGTGCAAGCTTACACACAGCACCTGCGCTACCTTGCAAGTAGCATTTCGGAGAACCCTATTGATGAGCACACGCTTATCAACATGTTCATCTACGGCCTTGTGATGTGTCGGTGAAGACCTACATGTTCCAAGAGGACTTTTATACGCTGGAAGGGGCGACAGCGTATGCGGAACAAGAAGACTTCAGACTGAGACAGTCTCAGGCTAACTCGTCCAAATATCGTCCGACGAGACGACAGGAAACAGGAGGTCCCGAACCAATGGACTTCTGTTACATCGAGAGCAAGAACTCTCGCTCTCTAAGTCACAAGCGAACGGCAAGATGCCATCGCTGTCAGAAGATTGGACAATACGCTCATGAGTGTAGTGTCCCAAGCACCTCAGCACGTCCAAAGACAGGACGTGATGACCACCGTTGGCTAAGGAAAGGTCCAAGGCGCGAGTCCGACCATGTCGCTAAGCCGCGACAGCAAGTCGGACCGTAAAAAAACGGATAGGGTCAGTAGGGGCGGAGCACCCTGCTAATCTAGCAACGTCAAGAGAATTTGCAGGACACTTGACGAAGACTACTCCCGACACACAGTCGCTGTGTGTTATTGCCCCTATTGATGAGGAGTCTCTCATCACTTTGAAGATCGAAGTGACAATTGGTATGTCACTTCGCACCCTAGTTGACTTGGGGCGTCGAACAGTTTTATCGACGTCAGTCACTAGGGGATAGTAGGCTCAACTATGTTGAGCGAGAGTTCCCTGCGACGAAGATGACGGTTTGCCTTGCTACAGGCGCATCCGTAACAGTGAACAAACGTTTAGTGGGAATACACTACACGCTAGAAGGAAAGCATTACCACGATGAATTTATCGTACTAGATTTGAATGACAAATTTGATGTCACCCTTTGTCTGCCATGGCTTAGAAAGTACCGACCATGGGTTAGCTGCCAGCATTAGTCCGTGATGATGCCTGCCGTTTGTTCATCAGATGGACATCTGATGAACATCTTGGAGCATCCATAAGCAGGTTAATGTACTACGAGTGAGTGTGATAGCCTCACTTGTGGTACGGTCGTTAGTACGACTGCACAAGTTCACAGTATAGAAGGCCACTACACTGTGGAACCAGCTTCCGACACCTGTGAAGAGACATAGGCTGCGCCGAAGGCTCACCACTCAAAGTGATCGAGTGGACTGAAACACAGATACACACCAAGAAGGGTGCAGTCAAGAAGAGATATTAGTTTTGTTCAGGATGAACAACACATTGAAGCAAGACCGAAAAAATATCAGAGAGTCGATCGTAGAGCAAGCCCGATCGACTGAAAGAGAGTCGATCGAAGAGAACGTGACTGTGGTAATACACCCACAGTCAGTACACGTATTGAAAGAAAGTGCCAGCGTTCCTGATAGTGATAAATCCCGAGAGAGTTATGTTAAGGGTGTGGATCCCCAACCACCTACGGATGTGTTTTCCCAGGAAATCACCGAGACAGTAAATGTCTTGGTGAATGACGTATCAAGTGTAGGCGCTTATACACTTGATCTGGTGACGTCCCCGAAGTCAGCTTTGGATGTGGTCGAGTTGCCATCGCTAGAATCTAAAAGATTCTTGCGAGATCTGCGTAGTGACAAGATCAAGCAGATCTGCGTACTCGTCACAGATGACGAATACGTCATCGATATTCGGTCGGCACAAGTGTCTGCTGAGAACGAACGGGTTCTCAGTAGTTCATCGATGGACAAGAGTGTCCTCGATGAAAAGACCCGGATTGAGCGACACACGTCTCAATTTCGGGAGTCCTTAAAGACCAATCCTTTGTATAAGGATTTAGTTGAATTCAGGCATATTTTTTCCGGAATCCGTGTCAAGCGGACTGCCCAAGGACAAAGGCACTCGGCATGGGATCGAACTGAAACCTGGTTCGAAATACTGTGTCATAAAGCAGTGACCACTGCCTCGTAAACAGGTTATAGCGATCGACAAATTCTTTGCCGATCTTTTAGCGGCTGGTCATGTGGGGGAATCAACATCCCCACACAGCACTCCGACCTTCTGTTTGCGAAAGGCCACAGGGGGATGGCGGGTAGTGCACTCGTTCAACAAACTGAACTCTGCAAAGGTACCGGCCTTAAACGCCGATACCGAGGAAGGATGTCATCATAGATGGCATCCCAAAAAAAATTATATTTTCGTCCATGGATCTGATGGATGGATTCTATCAGATCCTCGCATGAACGAGACATCTTGTACACAGTAGTGAGCACCCCCAGTGGTATGCTCTGGGAGTGGATAGTAATGACAAAGGGGCTAAGTAACGCCCCTGCGACGTTCAACCAATTTGTTATGAATCTGTTGCGACCGGTGCGCGATTTTGCACCGAGTTACTTCGACGATGTTCTCGTCCATAGCCGGGCTATGGATGGAAAGAAGGACGTCGAGGTTCATAGAATCCACGATCGGAAGGTTTTTACTCTAATACGAGAGCATAAGTTGTTCGCGAGCCTCAATAACGGTAAATTCGCAGAGAACGAGACACCACTTCTTGGCTGCATCGTGGGTAAAAACGGCGACACTTTGATCCGGAAAAGATCAAGGCGATTAGCAACTGTCCTCTGCCAGACGACTTCAAGGGACTTCGATAGTTCCTTGGCTTGGCGGCGCACTTGCACAAATACTCGCGCAACTATTCCGAGATGACTGCACATCTCTCTCGCCTATTAAGAAAAAACGAGAGGTGGTCATGTAGTGCTGAGCGTTAGCAATCTTTTGTAGGTATCAAAAAAAGCTTGATACAATCGTCTGTGTTGGCGATTGCAGATCAGGATAGACCATTACATGTTGTCTGTGACGCCAGCGATTTTGCAATCGGCTGCGCGTTAATGCAGTACGACTCAGACGGCGTTGAGCGCGTCGTCTGATATCAATCGCGTCAGCTGCAAGCATCTGAGCGTAATTACCCGGTGCGTGACAAGGGGCTCCTTGCCATGAAACATGTACTTGCTAAGTTTCGGGTATATCTCTTAGAATATAGGCCCTTCATCGTTTATACCGACCACGCGTCATTACGCACGGTTTTAAACAGTCCACACCTCTCGCAAAGCATGGCAAGGTGGCTGTTTTTCTTCGCAGAGTACAACTTCTCCTTCAAGTATAAGCCAGGACGACTTAATGTCGTCGCTGATGCTCTTTCGCTTCGGCCCGATTTTGAGCCGACTGCTCAACCCAACAGTAGGGGTGATCCCACTGTTGCAACACTATCAGTGAGTGTTCCGTCGTCGAATCTGCTCGACGACGTGCAAAGCATACGCAGACGATGAGTCTATCCTGCGATTGATGGATTACGTGTCTAATCCATGCAGTCAAGCTTTCAAAAGCTCGTCGTCTCATTACCGCTCTTTATTGAACGGTGTTCGGATCGTGATAGACTGCTGTACTATACAGCATTCAACGGCGACACACATCGTGTCGTCGTTCTGGCTCATCATGATTTGCGACTGCGCATCATGTATGAGTGTCACGATGTCCCTACAGGTGGGTATCGCGGTAGAGAAAAGACTTACTTAACGGTAAGTTGTGACTTCTACTGGCCCCACCAGTATGAGTTCGTGCGCAAACACATTCGCGCTTGCGAAGTTATTCAGCGGGTGAAGCCTAGTCCTTCATCCCGCGCACCCTTGCAGCCTCTACCGATTCCGGCAGAGTGTTGGCAGTACGTATCGATGGACTTCTTCTTCGGTTTTCCCAAAAACGCTCACAAGAATGCTAATATTCTTGTGTTTGTTGATCGGTTCAGCAAGATGGTGCATCTTGTTGCTGTACCGGAGTCGATCACAGCCCAGCGCTGTGCTCATGTATTCATCAATAATATCTTCCTACTTCACGGGCTATCCCGTGAACTCGTGTCTGATAGGGACCCCGCTTCACAGCGAAGTTCTGGCAATTCGTGGACCGTTCACTTGGAACACGTTTAAAGATGTCAACGTTTGACCATCCAGAATTAGATGGTTAGACGGAACTCGTCAACCGCAACCTCGTAGAGATACTTCGAGGGTATGTCCACTCGTTTACGAGTTGTAGTGAGTTCTTGCCGATAGCGGAATTCGCCATCATCAACTCGGTGCATGCATTGACAACGCATACACAGTTCTTCGTGAGTGGCCTACGCCATCCACGTTTACCCGCCTTCTTAGAGTGTGACTCTAGTTTAGGGGGGGTGGACTCGCTCGACCAAAACCGATCTGGTTCTTGCTCATCACCCGTCGACAATGGTGTCGACGTGATGGATGTCAATGCGATCGGTATTGATGATGATGATGACGAAGATGCTGGCATACTCAGCATCGCCAATGACTACCACAGTGAGGACGATGATACCCTCACTGGCGAAGACAACGTTCTTTCATCAGTCCACACGAAGCTCACTGATGTTGACAAGAATGAATCAGCAGAGAAATTTCTGCTGACTCACGAAGCGGTTGTCCGCTTCGTTTAATATTCTATTGCAGATTCACTGGACAGACAGAAAAGAAACGCAGACAAACGTGGAAGAGCAAATGTTCTTTCATTTGATGAAGGGGATTTATTTTAACTGTCTACAGTAAATCTACCGTATATGGCAGTGACAAACGTGGGTAGCAGTAAATAACTGCCCAAGTATATCGGTCCATTTCGTGTGTTGCGCCGAATGGGCAACGCATACACAATTGAACTGCCCCGTAAGATGTGTACACATCCTACGTTTTACGTTAAACGTCTCCGCCCGTACTATCAAAACGAGCCCGTTTCCAGATGCGAAGAATACATCCGCGGTCGAGGGCCGAGACCACCTTCGAGTGGTCCCGTTTTTATGAGCCCGGCTGGTCGACTAGCGAAGCAACCTGCTCACGCAGCTAAGCGATGTCTTGACGAGCTGCAGCCAGATCGTCACAAAGAGAACGAGTCGAACGTTCGTTCTCAAGTTTCGCGAATGCAAACGCGGCACGATCGTCGAAACGATCGTGCATCAGGTAATTGTAAATATCCCTTACAAGATCCTCAAGCTCATAACGCCAAGATCGTTCATCCAGTTCATCGTGCAACTGCTTCGTTACACGGTTCAGATCTTGAACATCAAGCTGATCCGACCCTCGAGCCGGAGTAGATGTTTCCACCACCACCACATCCTTTGGTGGACTCAAGCAGTGGTCAACGCTTTCTAGAGGAACGTATTTTGAACCAACGCGACGTGAATGGCGTCCGGATGAGTTACCTCGTCCACTGGAGTGGCTATCCACCGGCCTGGGACAGCTGGGAGCCTCGTGAACAGCTGATTGTTGATTTCCTTGGTCTCGTCTAGCAGTGCGACGAGACCCGCACGCTGCGTTTGAAGAAGGGCCGTCAGAAAAAACGACCTCTCCGAACGCGAGTACAGGGTTTGCAAAGTGTCAATTCCTTCGGCCATCTCAGAAGAGATGCGCGCCCTCCAATAAGGAACATTAGGGAGTTAGGCCTCCCTAGGCGCACGATTCAAGTTGTCCACGCAACCTGAACACGAATCACCCCACGAGAGATAGAATAGTCCTGCCTATCTTGACAACCGGTGCAACTTGTATCGCGCCCCGACTGGGTTGCGCTTTTCAAACCTAATGCAAGCTGCATCAAGTTTACCGAGCCAGGGCTCACGGCCAATGCATTCGATATTATGGATGAGGGAATTCCATCCTTGCACCAAGGCCTTACCGTCTCGACCGCGGCTGCCATTGTACCACCGATGGTTGAAAATGCATCGGTGATGAATTCTTTCTCAGCAAGGATAGTTCTCGTGCTGGAATTAGGTGGGCAAACCTCTCACAGCCGAACAACGGGATTCGATCCCGATCGGTTGTCATGCCGCCCAACCGGTCCAACTCTCTGGATGACGGCAGCCAAGGAGACTCCACACTTAAGGAGCGTGGCGCAGGACATTTCGGTCCATGGCCTCTTGATTGGTGTCAGCATGAGCACTATCACCAGCGGCGGCTCTATCCCTCGCGTTTCTTCGCTCGTTGTGGTGCTAAGAGGCATCGCCACCATCACCACGCGTCCTATCGTTGGATGTACTCGCGCGAGGCGAGGATTCGTCGGAACAATCGCTCTGTCCGAAGATGTCGAGCATGATGCCGCCACTTTCACTAGAGCCAGTCAACCTGGCTCTTGCAGTGTCATCCACGGATGATCCGGAGGCGTAAGGTGTCGCCTTCGAGTCGGATGCATCATCCGAATCGTCATAATAGATGAGCTCTATTTTAGACTCATCTACATTTCAATTCGCGGTACCCGCTGCCGACGCAGCGAATGTACCTGTCGCGCGTGGAGACTCTCCACGTGGACTGTCCACAACAACAGGCGACGAATCAACTGCTGCTGAGGCGTAAGAAGTAATCCCTCCGGTTGCACGCATGCGTGCAGCCGCCTTTCTTGCCGCTGCAGTAGCAACTCGAATGGGTTTCTTAATTATGCGTTGGATTGGCAAATGAATGGAATTTGACCAACAACCGCTCTCTTTCCCGGAGCGATCCAACGGTGGTCACTCTGTACCAATCAATTCTTTTAATCAACGGGAAATGGATGGTTAAGCGAGGGGTGATGTAACGGGGTAGCCCGTTACATGATATAGACAACAAACGGCGTTAATAGGGATATTGTCTAGCATGACAATCCCCTACCAATGTTATCCGAGATGGATAATTTTGGAGGAATGTAATCTCCTTTTAGGATATTATTAATGCGTTGCTCAAAGATTGGTTGATAAAAGACATTTCAACCATTGATTATCACCAATCGCTGCTAGACACGCGTAATGAGTGGTGATCAGGTTGTCGTCATACGACGACGTAGATTAATATAGTTAGATAAAGATTAAGGTTTTATTGATAGCTTAACTATATTAAATAGAGTCCTCTTTTTACCCTTTACTCAACATAGCTGTCAAGTAGATTACCTTCCTCTACACGTACTAGTGTACGTGAAGTTTCGTGGCACCCCAAACAAAGGGAGCCCCGTTACATCGAGTGTACATTCGCAAAAGTGAGAGCTCCGTAGCACTTCCTTAGCAAAACTATCGTTGTGTAAGCAAGTGGTTTACATAAAGTGCACTTGCTCGTGCGTATTGTGCACTTACCCAATCCCTTATGAGTCAAGCCACGGATCGTGCCACAGTCATATGGATCATGCACAGTATTTTGAGACGCATTCCATTTTGTGTTGGCTAAAAGCAAGCACTTGATCGGCACGTAAAGTGAAATGATGATGGGGTAGGAGGTTGAAGGGAGGGGAGAAAGCGATGCGTTTGCTCAGCGCCCCCTGACCGTCCATACATCCAAAGAAGATTATTGATCAGATTGGTCATTCAAACAATTTCAGTTTGTTATGCGAGCTTTCTATTGATTCCATTTTTATGAATCAACTGCAGCTACATTGTGTCATATGTCTTGTTTATAGGTCACTGTTTGCTCGGTCGTATTCGATCAAATGCTTTAGACAAATATCATCAAGTTGCGATTGAGGGCTTCAGAGGATTGAACAAGTTATGCTTTTCCATATTTGTGTGAGCTAAAAAAAACCTCCCAAGCTTAAACTAAAGGTGAGCACATGTCCGGCCGGTCTCAGGAAACCATGTGCACATAATAGCCGAGACATTGGACCTAAACATTTACTGGTGATCCAATCCTACACGCATATTCACATTCCACACTGCCGCGTCAAGCCGTTGAGACATGTGTGTATCATAACATCAAACTTTTAAACTCGCGTTACAACAACAAGAATTGAGTACAAAAGGTTAGGACCCAATCGCACCGTTTATCGGTACTGAATCGCTAGTCAATCTCTGTCTTGTATCATTTACCCGAAGGCAGGTAATCTGCCAACAACACCCATCTTGAACATCTGTCTATGATAATGTCGGTGCTAGCGAAGGTGATCATGCGTCAATGTAGCACTCGCTTCATACACCCACAAAGTCGTTGCTCATACCTGAAACACCGCCAAACTGTAACGGGGAACCGGAGCAACACACTAAATAATGTGTGTGGAGCTACTCTCACTGACAGCAGTGTGAGTACTGCTTCGCTACCTCTGTTGACTCGGTAGAGGAAGGGGTAGCAACTAGAAACCGACAAGTTGCTGGTAGACGTAAACCTGCATTAAATTTAATTAAGTCCTGATCATAAAGTGATGTTCAAGTCCCTACTTAATGATATTTATCTACAAAAATGTATGCTAAAGTCTTGCTCACCACTCATTGCGCGCGTCCATCGTTGATTGGTCGACTAGAGCTGGCTGATATGATGACTCAAATCAGCCAATCGGTAAGTGTTTCTTAATGTTACCCGTTATGGTTTATTCACGAGCATTTTCAACCTTTATAGTAGTATTTTAATTGACAAGTGTCAAGGGTTAATTACGTTTAACAGGTTTACCCCGTTACACAAATTTACCAAAATGGAAGTAGTTTGTGTAAGCTTTGTGTTAGTTCCTTACAATGCATCGATTTACTCCAAGATCAATAGTTCGTTATTATGGACAAAATTGCCATAACGAAACGATTGAAGGCATGTCAACAGGCCTCAAATAATTTAATACAGTGAAACACATTTTTGTTAGACTGAAAAATAGCCCTTTTGTGACAATACGTAATCACTGGTAACACCGTGGCTGTCAGGTGTAAGAATTTTTTTGGATCCTGCAAAACACATTTTAGGCTACAAACAGGATTGCCAGTTTATCTCATTGCGAGCTTAAAGGATGACGCTACTATTGACTGTGCGCAGGGTGAATGCCGAAATTTAACATCCACTTGTTGCATGTGTGTGTAAAAATGGGGGAGCGAGCTCTGGAGCTCGCATTTTGACCTGTTTACTCCTTTATGGAGAACTGAATCAAGACGTAAAACACTATACAATAGCAGTCATGTCTGTGTTGAATCAGTATAGTATATTTGGGCAATGCGATCAGCCTTTGCTAATAAGCGTCTAGCATTTGCTTTTGTGGTCATATTCACCGTTGATCATTATTCGTCCAGTCACAAGTGTGCGCCACAATAGTGACCAAGTCCAAAAAGTGAATTCGGATATGCCTATTTACCTGTGAGGAGAGACAGGCTAGATCGCACCTGGTACGACGTGTATGGTACACCTAGCGTTTTTACATACACACAGACAAACCGGTAGACAGGCAGACAGATAGACAAACAGACAGATAGATAGGTACGATTATAAAGTTTGGCATTTATTAGCCTTGCGCATAGTCATTAATAGCTTTACCCTTCGGGCTCGCAATAAAGTACACACCTCAACCCATTGACTTGCCGCCAAACCCCCACAATTGGTACGAGAATATACAAAATTTGATTCAGTTCTTTTGACTGAGTTACCTATATCAACGGGCGAGCTCAATGGCTGTTCCATCATCTTATCTCGATTAAATTTCTTTTCTTTCGGGATAAAAGAGATGATTAGGCACGAACAGCAATAGCCCCATTGTCATTTCCTCGCTTCATCTCCAGATCCCCCGTCTATCTATGCCATCGTTGGCCAATTCCGGGCTTTCTGTACCACCAAAATGGTCACGTCTCAAAGGACCGTAGCGTGATTGAAAAAAACGAGTGTGTAACGCACGATACGTGGCAGCAGAGCCACTTTGTTTCGTCGATGCATCGGTACAAATTTTAGATGATTTGATTTTTACAATATAATTTAAGGATGCTTTGGAACTTGTAAGATGGCTTGATTCGTGGAATATAATCCTTTTGAAAAAAGTATCCAGAACAATAATTCTGAAGGTGTGCATGCCTTGCCATTACTTGAATGTAATTACAAATTGATAGGTACCAGCCTAGCTGATCAAAAGCAAGTATTAGACAGAGGCATGCTTAGCAACGATACGGAATTAAAATGAAGTTGGCAAATGATGACTGCCATGAATTCATTGTGGATTATCAAGAACCAGACAGACAACAGTTGGTTTGTGGACTCACGCGGTAACAGGACGAGCCGTGAATACAAAGGCGTGATCACACGAGACAGAAAAACCCAACGACGCAGTTTCCCATAGCTGGCCTACGATTAACATTCAACGGTCCCGCTGCAGCACAACTCGCAGCAATCTTCCTCTTTGAAACCGGGATCATGGGAGCTTGCGCGACAATGTTCTGTTGCTTTCTGTTTACGTTCAAACGCAGTATTCGCGCAGATCGTCCACCCCGAACAGAAAATCTCGGCAGAGGTGGAGGCGGCGAGGGCGGCCGTAGCAAGGATGACGAACGCGAAGGTTCTGGTATTCATGATTGCGTTACATAGCTGAGTACGGTGCTGTGGGATAGTTCGCCTGGCTTGGCGAAGGGTAGATGGCAGCTAAGGCAACACTGCACAAAGGTAAAAGCGTTACGCGCATAAGAAAGATCTAGCGTCAGAATGTAATCGACTCAAACCACAGAGTTGACCATCCGTGCATATCGTTGTAGTCTATTGCGAAATGTAGCATTAGAGAGGGTTGCGACCCGTTGGCTCTGCGACCTGTAGGCGCTCTCAGATGGCACTACTCGAGGTTCAAGAGCACCGAAAATCGAGGAACATGATGGGTCATCCATACAAACAAAACGTAATACAAGGGATGTACACTACTATCGCGCGATCATAGTTCCGCAATGTGTCAAAACGAGTCTTTTAAATCGTGGATGAGGGGTACTCCAAAAACTCTGCGAGCGTGAACAATGGCCATTCCCCAATAGCTTTCCTCCGTGACTTCGTGTTACTTTATAGCAGTTAGTTGCAGTGACTACACCACTTTGTGTAGCTGCTTCGAATTACCACAGCGAGCGTTCTCAACCCTCGCCTAGCCTGGACTTGCAAAGGTTCGATTAACACAATTTGGCACTTATAAATGATAATGAGTCAAGGTAGCATACGTTCGGATGGCTAACAAAGAAGCATTTTTCACTCAAGATGAATGCATTTTACACCACATCCTACCTCTTGCCGACCGTAACAAAAAGGCTGAATGATTTGGCGAGGCTGGATCAAGCAGTTGACACTAGTTGCATTGAACTGGCAGCTTTGACGGATGCCTTGAGCTTCGTAGTTGGCGTCAACGATGAACCCCGTTACAATAAAGGAGGTGCGTCCAGTACGACAGGTCACCGACAAGTCTCAAGATCGACGAATTACGAGTTCACGGCCCTTCACAACCTCAAAAAGTCTAGCTGGTATCCATGATCACCCGAGCACAAACTAGCGGCAAGGGCTTCGTCCAAAATAACTTGCAGAAGCTTGTTACTTCCCTGCGCGCTTCGTCAGCGCGTGATCGTCTATGAGAGGGTGTCAGTCATGACTGTCGTTGTGGACGTACCATGTAGCATCAACAAAAGCGACGATGCAGCGAACTGCAAACAGCCGTCGCCCGATATTTACCATACGAAAGAGTCGTTGGTGATCATTTACGTCATTGATTGCAACAAGGGCGTTCTACGCGAGATGGGAATACCAAGGACGAATGACTGAAGACATGGCTCTCTTCTCTGATAATGCAGATGCGGACGACTGCTCAACAACGAGCTGCTAGATGATAAGATAAACAACGGCTGGGACAGTAGAAGTCGCGTAGCACATGTAATCGAAAATGACGTATTATGATAAAAAATACACTTGACGATCAATATTTAACCCCTGCGTCGTACATTGTTGAAACCATTTGGGACCTTCAAGTAAGTGTAATTCAGAGACGCTGCAAGTACATTGTAGGATCAGGAGAACGAAGCGCTTCAAATGCACATAACTTGCCTCAATCCGATCTTGCATACCTACGTTCTAAATACCAGCGCTCTTCGTCAACTTTAAAAACATCTTGTCGATAGACTTCAGCTACTCTTCCTCATCTAGGATTGGGATGCGGCTCAAGACAGCGCGTGACCACAGGTCGCGCAGTGTCATCGACTTCAGCAATAAGTTGGGCTGCAGCACCGAGCTCACGGAGTGTTAGGTGTGGGTCATGTACGGGGTGGCATCGCAGCAATGTAAATCTAGCTCTTACTGCAGGAGAAATAGATCCTGGGTGTCGGAAGCTACCGTGCTGCCGTGGCGTGAAGAAGACCATGAATCCACAAGCTGGTGGATACGACGATGTCGAGTATCAATCGTATCCACTGACATCTCCGTCGAGGTCAGCAAACAAACATGGAGCAACTCCACGCTGTAACAATGTGGAGGAGCCGGCAGATAACACGAACAGTGCAAGGAGCACGACTGCGGTTCGGAAAGTCTTTGCGTCGAGGAGCGACAAGAGCGAGGAGATATAATCAAGAACGGGTGCAGATTGAACCCTCGCTATATGCGATGCTTGTGACAGCCATTCCACGTCTGCATCTCCAGGAGCTACAGGATGTTTGATGCCGGCGTCAGGAACAAGCCGCGTCTCATTCGTCCGTTACCACATCATCCACACAGACGTGGATTACACGAACAGCACATAGGGCGTCCCGTGTATCGGAGTAAACCCGTGGTTAAGATCAAGGTGCTGTACTTTGCGCCGGCGCCCCATGAGAACACGGTCCGCGTGAAGAGAGCCCACAGCTACCGGAATAGAGCAACACCATTGCACCGTCTGCTGCTCGGCAAGTATCTGCACGTCACATCCACCATTGATAGCATCATGTTTGCGCTCAACGCTGAGTACTTTGACGACATGACACTTACAGATGGAGATGAAGTGGCGCTCATCCCTCCCATTAGTGGTGGTGAGTGAAGCTTGCACAATCTAATCAGCACGGGAGACAAAGAGACAGATGGATGAGAAAGAGTCCTGGACCGTACAGGTGTGCAGAAAACGAAACAATCCATACCTTGCGACGACTTGCTTTGCTTTGCCATCCGACCAACCACCAAGAAAGTCGTCCACAACTACACACAGGCTGCAAGTATCTGCTTTATAAGCGCTGGACGCCCACCGTGCGCTGGAAAATCTGCTCGAGGTCTCGATTGACGCTCCTGGATGGCGAGGCGACCAAAAGTTTCTTGAGCAACGTCTTGCCACGCAGCCACCGCAGTCCCTTGTACAGCAACGCGAGTGTCGCCATGCTCAGAATGAACTGGAAGATACGCACTCGGCGTCGGCGGCTTCGTTCCTCTTCTTCTGTCACGGGCGGCTCGCCATGGCGCGGGTGACCAGGTGGAAACACCGGACGTGGAGCCAGCATAGCAGCAATACCCGCACACATGGCTCCAATGCGTTCGAGAAAGTGGACGGAACTCCCTGCAACAGACAAGACCTTAGTAGTCAGCACACCGGCAGCACCTCGTTCTCAATTTGACAGGAACGAGCAACAGAGCGTGACGACCCGCACCGATGCAAAAGTTGAGCGCCTCTGCGTTCATCCCCAGCAGTTCCGTGATCTGCCCGATGGAGCTCACAATCTGATTGAAACTCGAGAGCCAGCCCATCCCTCCTCCGTTCGGGTCCATATTGCCCCCACCGCTCATGGGCCCGCCGTACCCCATTCGGGACATGCCTGTGTACCCTCCATAACCGCCACCTCCAGCGTACCCCCCAGTACCGTATGAGTTCATGCCTCCAGCGTACCCCCCAGTACCGTACGAGTTCATGCCTCCAGCGTACCCCCAGCACCGTATGAGTTCATGCCTCCAGCGTACGTCGAGCCCAATCCCGTCCCGTACGTCGAGCCCATTCCCGTTCCGTACCCCGTCGGGCCATAAGGAGCCATCACATGAAGCGTCGAGCCTGGTAGAGGTCCTGAAGTAGCAGCAACTGAAGTAACAGCAGCAACTGAAGTAGCACCACCGGTACCCGGGACTGGACAGACGCCATGTGACGTCGGCAACTTGTCGTCGTCTGAAGTAACAATAGAGAGGAAGTCGTTGGCATGGGATGGAAACAAGAGAGCGGGAGCGATGGGCACAAGAGTCACGCACTTGAATCAGCGCCGGCTCTCTGCTGCTGCTGCTTCTCCCACGGCTTCGTGGGCCAGGCCGCGCTTGGGCCGCGGTTGACGGCGCTGCTCATCCCTTCGTCCCTCACGAGACTCGACGTTCTGATTCTGGAAAATCCTTATTTGACTTCATGTGACTATTTCTGAATAGGATCAAGCGATGGAACTTCGAGCGCTTGCTATGGTGAAATTTGTGGTACGTTGAGAGGGTGAACAAGCGTTTTGTTTGGAGCATTTTCATGTTCGGTTCAAATTTGATCGTTTCTATCACGACGATCACTTGTGAGAGGGTTATCGCTGAGGTTTATTGCGGATGAGTCGAGTTTGATGGAGTGTGTTTTCGGCATAGCGACCAGCTTTCACATCCCGACGTTTCAATTGCAATCTGATTAAGCAAATAGCATGATGGGTTTATTAGGACTACTACAGCTCGCACAAGTGGGAGTCACGTTCGGGTCATAACCGTTAATGGCACTGACGTGGGTCCCGATAAGAGCAGAATGACAAGCTTGTGATACCATTCATATGTGAATCGAAGCTTGAATCGACCGCGATTTATGTACAGCTTTCGAGTGCGTAAGTGGGTTACTATCGTCTACATGCATACCTGATGATGGTGATAGTGTTGTAGACGTGTGTTAGTTCCTCTTCTATCCAGCTACACGTCTCCGTCCCGTATGCATTTGCATACGAATTATGATCTTGGGATAGAAAGTATCGTGAAGATGTGAATGCTTTGCACGAGTCTGACGAAATAACAAGGTTGTGGACTTGGTGATTCGGCCTTTGTGAAGCATCAGTCATTTCAAGTATGACCACCTTCTGGATATCCAAATGAGGCAAATACTATGAGTTCCGCAAGTACAAAAAGCTGGATCGAAGCCCCCACGAGTCCAGTGCTGGACCCAAAATGGTGAAGGCGTGATACAGCGGACATGATCTAATATGGCGGGGGTTGTAGTGCAGCACGGGGCGATCATAAAAGGTCAAAGCGCCGACGATGGTGCTAAACATCGAGATCGATGCGGTGATACGACAACGATGCAGGGTTTTCTACACATAAAACAATCCCAGAAAACGTTTCTTACAGCGCAATGACAGCGACGGTGATGGATAAATCGAACGCGAAAATGACAGACGACGGTATTGCAACAACTTATGGGAGGCAGTGACTCAGCATAGAGCAAATCTCATTATCAGGACCACAAATGTCCAAAAGTCCCAAAAGCAGGACTATAGTTTAAACAAGTCTAAAATTGATAGATACTTAATGTTAGCCACATTATACTCAGCTGCAACATGGGATAAGAAACTGCCTGATTACTAATGAGTCTATCCATTTTTTTGACCACTGTCACGAGTGGTAAAAAAACGCACTTTTTTTACCAACGGCTCGATTACTTCTCAATTTGAGCCCACGAGCCGATGTGCCCATTTAGGTTTGGGCACATTGCGTGCGAGCCAGGGCCCGGTCGCACGCACCCGACAAGCTCGTGACCGGGGGACTCCGTTATTATACCTAGCACTGTCGGTTTTGATTAAATTAGTAATTATTTATGTACGCGGTTGCAGCAACGCCAGTTCGAAAGGTTTTACAATACGTCAGGTCAGTAGTACCGTCATTGGTGTCAATTTCGATTGCTGCAGTCACTCGAGACATCTCAAAGACTTCTTTCAGTCCACTTCTTGCGCTTACGCTTGAACGCTCAAACTAACCATTCAAAATATACAGTATGAGGTAGTGAACAAAAATTATGTAATCATGATTAATGCTTTTAAGACCAGTACTAATTTCTGAATATACATAACGCAAGAATTACACTTGTCTTTATATTACGCCCTTGTCAGTCAAACAAACTCCTCGCACTGCAACATATCCACACGGACATAGGACACAATCGCTAAGCAGGACACTTGACACTACTTGAAACCACTCGACGCCGCTCTATTTCACTGGACGCCACTTTACATCACTGGACATTACTCGACATCACTTGTTACCACTCGACATCACTCGTCACGACTTTATACCACTCGAAATCACTCGGCATCACTTGAAACGCACTTCAACACATACATACAGACAAAGCATGCGATCGTTATACAGCACAGTCGACATCGACAGCATAATAACCTGCTACCGCTGCTCATGAGAGTTGGTTCAATAACGGAGTTTACCAGTCACGAGCTCGTCAGGTGCGTGCGACCGGGCCCTGGCTCGCACGCAATGTGCCCAAACCTAAATGGGCACATCGGCTCGTGGGCGCAAATTGAGAAGTAATCGAGCCGTTGGTAAAAAAAAATGCGCTTTTTGACCACTCGTGACAGTGGTCAAAAAAATGGATAGACTCATTAGTAATCAGGCAGTCTGAGTATAATGTGGCTAACACTATGCTAGTTTGCATACTCAACCCAAGTAAAAAAAAGATAACTTTAGACTTGCTTAAACTATAGTCCTGCTTTTGGGACTTTTGGACATTTGTGGTCCTGATAATGAGATTTGCTCCTCAGCATAAGCATTGCTACAGAAGGCAGCTGTCCACTTATTTTGTTAAGCAACTCGCTTTACAAAATAAGTGGATAGCCGCATAATCAGTGGACAGCCTACAAGATTGTGAACTGCATTCAAAACCATGATTTGTTTGTGCAACTCTCTATACATCTCCATACAGCAGCCAATTCGCGATTTCTTTACAGCCTCCACGGACCCTTCCTTAGATACCCATCCCTTGAAACACCATAATGAGTAACACTTGTTGGTCTCCGTTTAATCCCCTTCCAGCAGAAACCTATGACAACTTAGAGCTGTCAAAGGAAGTTGCTCACGCGTAGGCATGGGAAAATGGCTTTGCGATTGCTGTACTCAGGTCGGCTAGATGGGGTCATCCTCCAGCTAGAAAGAAGGTGTGGATGCGCTGTGTGCAAGGAGGACATCATCGCACCCAACCATCTGAAGAACCAGCTCTCAGGCAGAGGTCAACCAAACGAGTGGGCTGTGCTTACATGCTTGTTGACCTTATTGTAAAGAACGAATAGTGAACCATGACTCCTGACGAAAGGTGTACTGCCGTGCCGTACTCTCACCTGCTTGCTTCATTCCACTAAGCAGATGTAAGTAGAATCGCGATCGGCAGTGGCGCGACCATTTGTAGCAGCCTTGCTGGGGCTTCAAAGGTCGCAGCCCATTACGCTCGTCCAAGTATACTTCGCGCGGCTACTGGGGCAAATCTCTAGGTTAAATCAGTTCCCAGAGCTTTTCTGATCATCCGGTTACTGCTATCTAAGCAGACTATCACGTATTCCGTGTACTGATTGGCCGTTTCACACTTGTCGACTATCAGATCCACTTGTTTTAGCAAGTTCCTTATTTTTTGGGATCCCCAAGCGTAAATGACAAATTCAACGATTATTTCGCCATTCCCTCTTACAAGTTGATTATTCTCTTCAAAGCGGTACATGAAGGAGACAGTAGTGGTGCTGTCGTGTTGCTGCCACAAGTTCAACAATAGACCGTGCTCCACTGATTCGGACCTTACCGCCGAGCTCCTGATATGCAAGTCCGAGCAACCAAGGATGCAATCACCTCACACTACGTTTTCCAGCAATAATTGATCACACCCCTTGAGTTGGCCGCTATGCAACCATACAGCGAGCTCCTTTTGCATCGTAGCGATCCGTCTCGACATGCTCGGTGGCTCGTCTTCCGCCGAATGTTTCCCATTACACTCAGGATTGAGTTCCTTACTGGCTTGTATCACTGCAGCCGCGTCGGAAGAGTCAGCAGATTGGTTGTCAAGCGCCGAGGCTGTTAAAAGGAGAGCTTCAAATTGCTCTAGCTCTCCAAACTGCAGCAAACATGATGTCATTTTCTTATACGTTGTTCCATACTCCAGGCGGTCCTGCAAGTACGCGAATGCACGCAAATGCAGTTAGCGCTTGGAAACACCACCATCGAAAGTTCTGCAAATCAAACACTTACCAACAACGACTGCGGGTACAGAGACCCCGAAAAGAACCTGTCGTACTTTTGAACTCGAGCCTGCATCTTGGCTTTAACGTTATCAAGCGACAACCTGACGTCTTCTCCCACGGCAACAACGTGACTCTCGATCTCTCTCTTTAGCTCATTCAGTAAATGGGAGCTGTAGCACGAGCAACAAAAGTCACAACCAGAATCACACACGGTCTTACGGCCAGACTTGACATACCTGAATGGAGAAACTGAATCGAAAAAGGAAGTGCACCCTGCTTGCTCGAGTCTTTTAAACGCCAAAACGGCATCACGAAGTGCGTCGAGCACTTGCTGAAAAGCATCGCGCTCTAATGGCAATACGCGTTCAGACACAAAAGTGCACAGATCCTCAATTTTGACCGGCGACGAATACAGCTCCTGGAAGTAATCGCACAAGATGACGATGGCGCTTGTCAGGTCATGACGCTCGGCTGCATCGTCAATCACATCAGCCGACCGCGGCACCTTCGATGCTCTCCAGAAGTCGGCAAAACTCCGTCGCACCTGTGCCACATGATTGGCAAAGTCCAAAACACGAACTCTGGGCTTGTCCTTGTGACGACGATTTAAACGACTAAGAAGCTGGACTGTGCGTGCGCTGGAGCGCAAATAGCGGTCAATGTACATGCACGCGAGCAACGGCTCGTTGTAGCCCGTGTCTAGCTTATCACAGACGATAATGACGTCGCTGATAGCTAGTGTGACGCCGCGCTTGTTTAATGTCGACTCCGTTACAAGCTTTGACGTTCCATCTTCACCGTCCAACGATACAGTGCCACTGAAAGCAGCGTAACAAATCCAGCCAAGCTTTCTCGTTACAACGAATCGGATGAGGAGCGTGAAGTATCGCGTAACGTCAAGGCGACTTCGCACGACGACCATGCACTTCACTCTTGGGTGTTCTCGTTTCATAGCCTGAAAATCCGTCATCATAAGAAGTGCCTTAGCCTTAAGAACAGCAACATCGTCACTTGCGACGTCCAGGATGCGACGTCTAGCACCACGATGTAGTCGAAACAAATCGTGCACAGACTCGGGGAACACGGAGGTTTCGACTTCACAACGAATGCATGTGTAATCCTCGAGTACATTCATGATGCGACCATCTGCTACGGCTTGTGCGATCGGATAACAGTGAAACGGACGAAGATACTCGTCTTTTGTTCGGGAACCAAATAGCTCGAGCGCATCAGTGTTTGGTGTTGCTGTGAAACCAATAAACTACAGCCGCCAGGTCAAGTCAAGGATATGGTCATACGCAACGTTACAAGGACAAAAAGAGACACGGGTGAGTCGTACCGTAAGGTGCGCATAACTGCCTTCTCCAGCTTTCATGGCCTTCTCAATAGCGTCCCGTGTCGACGACGTATGCGATCGATGGGCTTCATCCGTGATGATTGCAACGCGCTGGAACTTATCCTCCATCTCATCTTGACTCTTGCCAGCTCTCGTCAAGCTTCGATGTAGCAGCCTCGTCACTAGCACGTCATCTTTCACCAGCAACGCCATCTTTTGTATCGTCGTAATGATCACTCGCTGTGGACTTTGCTGCTGCTGCTGCTGTTGTCGTGTCGATACATCGAGCACTGCAGCCAAGTGGTCAATACTCGAGGCTCGGAATACGTCAAACACACCGTTTTGACGCAGGTAACGCTCGACAGCATCGCCCACTTGCTCGTTCAGCTTGACTCGATCCAGCATGACCACGACCGTGTGGAACTGCAGACACTGGACGTCTTTCACCGACAATAGTTGATGCGCGAGTGCTGCAATTGTCAAGGTCTTGCCAGCGCCCGTGCTATGTTGCACTAAAAACCGAGAGCTCTCTTGTCCAGTCTCTTGTTCCTTGTTGTCCTTATTTTGTGCCTGAATGGCAGAAAGGACGGACGTGACGGCAGTCACTTGATGCGGCCACGGCGTGAACAATATTCTGGCATTGCGCTGGTTACTCCTCTTTGGTTGGTTGATAGAGCTGCCTCCAACGCGCATAGACGCTCGGACAATAGTCTCCAGTACATGCTCTTGTTCCGTCTGGTGCTCTTGTTCCGTCTGATGCTCTTGTATTGCCGGATGCTCTTGTATTGTCTGATGCTCTTGTTCCGTCAGATGCTCTTGTTCTGTCAGATGTTCTTGTTTCGCCTGATGCTCTTGTTTCGTATGGTGTTCTTGTACTGTCTGATGCTCTCGGTCATTCGGGTGCTCTCCAAGTGTCGGTTCGGTGCGATCGTCGGCATCGTCACGTTTCAAGCGCTTGTACTGGCCCTGGGTGGACGTAGAATCAGGACGCACCCATTGCGTCGTGTGCGTGGGTTCGTGGTAGTAGTAGACCTTTCCTTTGGACCGAGAAACGCGCACCACCCAATGCGGGGGCAGTGGCGACACCGTCATGTGCGAAAAAGGAGCACCACAAGTGACAAAAGCGGCATGGAGACGCGATTGTGTCGATGGTGTGCGAACATCATCATTTTTAGTCCTCTACAAATCATGATCCACGTCTTGTCCAAAGCCAGAACGACTTGGACTCAATGCTCTAGATAAAAATCAGCTAAAGCTTCAAACTGCAGAAAAGTTCTACAAACGAAGCAACCCGCGAGCTACAAACTCTCCTCTCAAGCCGATCCAAAAAACATCTTGAGCGCTGGCTGCATCGTCGCGCCACACACAACCCAGCCCCTCACTTGATGTACAAAACACAACCAACCCACAAAACGTCGCTACCGCATGTCGTCACAGCCCAATTTAGTGTGTCATCATCCCCACCCCATCCTCTCTATTTACATAGTCTCTTTCATTTAATCACGCCACCCCTCCCCAAGCACCAAAGATCAATCCATCGATCCATTTACCCACCTACCTCACCTCACCTCACCTCCCCTCACCTCCTCGAGTCTTCCTCCCGTCACCTCCGCCCATGCCGCTCCCACGCGCGCTCCTCGTCCCCCTCGCCCTCTCCTCCGTCTCCTTCCAAGTCCACGCCGCGCCCGTGTCCCTCACTGAAGCCACGTTCGACCACGAGACGAGCACCGGCGTCTGGTTCATCAAGTTCTACGCGCCCTGGTGTAGCCATTGCAAGCAACTGGCGCCCACCATCGACGCGCTGTCGACCGCCAAGGAGCTCCGAGACACGGACGTGCACGTGGCCAACGTCGACTGCACGACCGAGCGGAGCGTGTGCGAGCGCTTCAGCGTGGGCTCCTACCCCACGCTCAAAGTCGTGGCTCACGGCAAGTCGTACGACTACAACGGCCGTCGGGACGTTCCGACAATGGCTACATTTGCAACCCATGGGTACAAAACCGAGTTTGGCGAGCAGGTCTTGAGCTACCCCGAGTACGTCGAGCAGCGCAAAGCAGCGGCGGCGGAGCAGCAGGAGAACGAGCGCCAGAGCGCGGTCGTGCAGCTCACCACGGCCTCGTTTGAACGCCAAGTGCTGGGCAGCAACAGCCCGTGGCTCATCAAGTTTTACGCCCCGTGGTGTGGCCACTGCAAGCGCCTGGCGCCCACGTGGAACAAATTGAGTCGCACCTTGCAGGAGAATGGCAGCCAGACGCACGTGGCCAAGGTGGACTGCACTGTGCACCGTCGCGTGTGCTCGCGCTTTGGCGTGCACGGCTATCCGTCGCTGGTTTACATCAGGGAGGGCCAAGTGTACCGGTACAAGGGTGGACGGTCACTGCCGGCGTTCCTGGACTTTGTCGAGAGTGGCTGGGAGACGGCCGAGTCGACGGGGCCGATACCGGACGAAGGCTTTTTCTCCAAGATTGTCGACACGGTCATTGAGTGGGCGACGGAGCACACGGTCTTGGCGGTCTTGGCCTGCATTCTGGTGGTTGCTATTGTAGTGGCGATCTTGGTGGCGATGCTGGATTACTGGCTGGGTGCTGACGACGTGACGCAGTACAAGAAGGTGCTGGAGGAGAAAGGAGCGGAAGGGAAGGATGACGGAGATGAAGAGGAGGAAGAGCTCCTGCCGCGCACGCCGTCGGCGGCCGAGGCTAAAAAGTCTGGTCTGAAGCCAAAGGACGAGTAACTCTTGTCTTGTTGCTTGACTCGCTCCTTGATTGTTCGACGATGATCGAGTGAGAAAGCAGACAAAGAGGAAGCAAGGATGTTGACTCGAGATGCTCCAGCTTGTAGGTAGCCTGGACGAGGCTAGCTTGCTTCAGTAAGCAGTAGTGCAGTCCATTATCGGTCCCATCAACGGACCGACAATGACCATGTGCAGCTGCGACCTCGGTCTTGTGTTGTGTTGCCAAAGCGTCTACTTGGATGTCGAAGCAGTCGCGGAGCTTCGGACAACTGACGTCCAGTATTCGATCACTTCCAGGTACCACATGGGCTCGCGTTGCTGCTTGGCATCCAACTTGATCACCTGATGTGCCAGCATCGCACGCATCGCCAAGTCAGCACCTGCTTTAACCTTCTGCATGGGGCCGATCGCCAAGATGTAGTCGCCTATGCATAAATCGAGGTGGACAGTGAGTCAGCAAAGGTGGTGATGGAGGAAAAGAGGGTGCGTCACTGCAAGCACCAACCCAGTTTAGGTCGAGCGTCGACCCCTGAAGGCACGTTTTTCAGGTAAGTCCGTAGCTCCAGTCGCAAGACGCCAGTGCCGTCATCCAGTAAACAGTGCTCCCCACCTCCTTCAGTAGTTGAGACCACAACGCCCTGCATGGAACAACCAACGCATGACAACCAAAGCAGAACAACCAGCCAGCCAACCGGTCGAAGAATGGTAAGTCAACTGCTGGGATCCGGTGGATAGACCAGCTGGTCAATCCGTCACCTGAACCCAGAGACGGGAGCATTCGACACCATCGATCCTGATACCGGCACGGGTCGGGGATCGCAACGCAGTGTGGATCTGTCCTGCAAACGCTTTCACGGTGGTGCTGTCCTTGTGACGTCCTGTAGCTATCGTAGACATATCAACGTCCAAAGATCCAGTGGACCAAAATGAATGGATGTCTGAAATGGTCACGACTCACTCACTCACTCGCTCACACCTCCCGGCACAAGCTTACAAGAGCAGAGTACGCGTAAAGTTGAGATTTAAGTTGACGAGTGCTTGCGTTTGTTCCTGCTATACATCTGTCAGTCAAGCAACCCCTTGGATTCTTAAATGAGCTTCTGCGTGATAGCCGCGCCCTTGAGTCCCGCTTGCTCGATGGTCTGGTCGAGATCCGTCGACACGGGACGCGGAGGAAACCCAGCGAGCAGCGTATACGCTTGCGCTCCCGCGTCGTTCCTACAGCCACAAGCGCGAAGAAACGTCAGCACAAAAGCCTCCATCAGTGACAACCCCTCCTCCACAACCGCCCCTTCCTCTTCCACCCGACACAGACACGCACAGACGTACGTACGTACGTACAGCTGAATGATCGCGTGCAAATCCCGCAGCGTGTGGTCCAGATTCAGCGTCTCCCGCAGTCGCTGGCCATTGTGCAGACGGAGCTGCAACGTCGTCGTCGGTTTCTTGTCATCAACTACTGGACGCTCGGCCGTCTGGACCTCTTCTCCTTGAACCACGGCTTCAGCTCCATATGTCCTGGAGCCCATGACCTGTCCCTCGCCACTGAAGGCCGTGTAAGCAGGCAAACGGGGTGCTACATACTCCTCCTCCCGCTTGTCCACGAGACTGATTTCCACCGGTTCATTGCGGTTCACGCCCTCCAGCTCGTGCGGCACGTGGCCCTGCTCCAGAGCTTCCAGAAACGGCCGATTCGCCACGTCCGAACGGGTGCGGTACGGCCCGTCGTTCACGGTGAAGCCGTCCCGGTAGAACGTGATCACGTGTCGAGGCTGCGTGGACGCCTCCGAGCGAGCGTCTTGCTGCGCGCGCCCAATGATGTTAGCCACGTGGTCGTCGCTGGCAGGGCCAATGACGGACAGCCCGCTGCCTCCGCCACGGTCCGAGGCCCCGCCGGCGTAGTACTGGTTCGGCTCGTCGCGCTCCTGTCGCTCGTCGTCGTCGTTGCGGCCGCGGAGACTCGAGAGGCCGACGATGTTGGCCATGATGATGATCGATCGATCGATTGCTGCTGCTGGGATTGGTGCTGGATGGGATTGGTGCTGGATGGGATTGGTGATAAGTGGATGGATCGCTGGGTTTAGTCGGTTGGTTGTTTGTTTTTACTTGGCGAAACTCGACGGGTTATTTCGTGGTCTTTTCGAAACTGCTTTGGAAATTGAGAGCTGGAGGCGGGAATGGTTTTCTAGGTTGACCTGGAGAGAAATGGAGAAATGAAGAGATGGGGTGCAAGTGGCTCGTGTTCATGCGAGAGCTGTGCGTTGGGGAACCACGTGCGACTGGAGCGACTCGGTCGACGCGGAAACGTCGGCTTGTGCAACTGCAAAGTCCGTCTTGCGAGCTCTTGAGAAAGTGGCGTACAGTCGCTCAAAGTGCAGTCGAGCAGCTTCGGACGTCGATGGGTTCGCATTGTCAAATGCCGTTCGGACGTGCGTCTTGGTGATGCATCGACTGCAGTGATAGAGGGAGGGAGATGAGTGGGAGTCAGACACTGACCAGAGAGAGAGAGAGACGGGGTATGTCATGCAGTCGAGACGTTGCAGGAGATAAACACGTACTTGGAACTGTCGCCATTGAGCTCTTCGTGCACGAGTTGAAGCTGCGCAGAGTACATGACCTGAGATGCACGAAAAAAGCGTGAGTGTCAACGGAATGGTCACGACCAACGCAGCAGCAGCACGTACGGCTTGCAAGTCAGCACCCGAGAAGTGAGCGCTCTTGGGAGCCCTCGCAATCTCAGAAAGGTACTCGACTGCCTCGTCCGAGAGATCCATATTGTTCGAAACCGCTCGGAGGATTTCCAGACGCTCTTCTTCGTTTGGAAAACCTGCGTATTCAGTCTCGACACATGAGCTCCGAGATCGACACGCCACGTCCAAATACATCGATACACTAGGGGTCAAGCGTACCGCAATAAAGGGCCTTGTCGAGCCGTCCTGGTCGAAGAAGTGCGGGGTCAATCATATCTGGCCGGCTCGTAGCTGCCAGTACATAGACGCCCTGGATATCACGACATGCCAACGTCCCATGATTAGACTACACTGCAAGTTCAACGTACCAACTAGCCATTCTTGGTGCTTACCTTGCGGTCTTCCACTCCATCTAAAAATGTGAGCAACTGGTTCACCAGACGGTCGGTGACACCGGTGTTATCGGCACCGCGGCGGGGAGCGATCGAATCAAACTCGTCGAGAAATAACACGGATGGAGCTGCTGAGCCGGCACGTGCGAACAGGTCTCGAATGGCCTGCTCACTGGCACCGATGTATTTGTTCAGGACTTCGGGTCCCTTGACACTGATGAAGTTTAAACCACATTCGTGTGCGACTGCGCTGGCCAGAAGCGTTTTCCCGCATCCAGGAGGGCCATAAAGCAGCACCCCAGCTGGGAGCTTGAGTGGCGTGTTTTCATACAACTTTGCATAGCGAGTGGGAAGTTCGAGGGTATCCTTCAGCACTGTTCGTACGTGTTGAAGTCCTCCAACAGCTGCCCATGTGATGGAGCTCTTGAAAGGTCCACGCCAATCAGCCCTGTCGGCTGGAAATCCACGATCCCTTCCTCAAAATCGCGCTGCTCTACGTTGAGAGGGACTCGACAATCGCGTGATGATTGTGCGAGAGCGTGGCGATGAAACGTTCGATGCAATGCACGATCAGTGGCGCTTGACATGTCACGAAGACTATAGCCTTCCATCAAGGATGAGAGATGACCGAAATCAATGGCCGGGTCGATGACAAGTCGCCGTGATTCCTCCGATCCGTTTGCAGTCAAGTTCACGTCTTTCACTTTCATTTCCAGCATTTCTTGAATCAGAGTTTCGCGCCGCTCTGTATCCGGCGCAGTCACTTGAATAGAGCGATCAAAAAGCCCACAGCCGCGAATAATTTTGTGGACGCTCATGTCGGACCGAGAAGCTGCAACGACAGCCACACTCTGGCTCTGCATGGCGTTACCAACCACCGCAAGCAGTTTTATTCGAGCAGAACGTTTCTGTATCTCAGGGCAGCCCTCAATGACCTCACACTCTCGCTTGAAGGACGCGCGTAATCCAACTGCAGCCTTATGCATGCGCTGGCTATTCTGACGCATCAAATCCAGCAGCATCTCAGCAATCCGCCGCGACTGCTCATTGGCCGCACCTGCGGACTCATCTTCTTCAGGCACAAGCGCGTCCAAGTTGTCCAAGGCGATGAGGGCAGGAGCGTGAGCTGCTGCCTCTTCAAACAAAGCGCTCAGCCGTAATTTTACAATCTCCATTTTCAGTCCCCGTAAGTCCCGGCAGTCGACAGTTGTTGCGAATGCAGCATACTCAAAACTAGTCCGGACCTCGTGCGCTAAAGCGCGCAAAAGGGTCGACTTTCCACTACCTCGATCACCACAGACCAAGGCAGACCCGGGCGGTTTCGTTCCCAGCACAACTCGTGCTGCTGATGCGTCTTGAGACAAAACAGGGCGCACTGCTTTCATCAACGCAGCATAGGGTTTTGCTTTGCGCAATAGCTCCAAGATCGCTAGGTTGAATGTGCGAGTCGACGAACCCTCGGCGTGCAGTTCTGTTAGCACTCGCTTCTGGATCCCAACTGCACTTTGCACCGTTACTTGGCCCAGCGACAAGATGTGCCCACCTTTGCTTCCACCAAGTACAGTGTACTTTTCTAGAGCGCCAACAGGAACATCTGCAACAGCAGCAATTATTTGTGTTGTAAGCGAATCGTTCGTGATGTTATAACGGTGATCGCACATCATACAAACCAAGCGTTACCTTGTTGTTGCTCTGCACTAAATACTTCATCAGTATCGTATTGCACGTCTGCAATTACTTGAACAAATTTCTCGGGTTCCAGTTCAAGACAAAGGATTCTTCCTGAGCTAACAACGTGGCTTTGTTCAGTCAAGCTGCTCCAATGCAAAAATGACTGCTGAACTTGGCAAGCCAGTGCACCGTCATCAAGGCCTTCTAGGTTCGTCAATAGCAATACTGAAGAAGGAGGCAGCGCTGAATGCTTCAAAACGCGAAGATAGATCGACTTGTGCGTCCCGATACCCAAAGTAGCCAATACCGATCGACTAGGAAGGACATGACCCCGTACAACGCAACAAGCGGCCTTCAGTCTCGCAACGCAACAATTACGTTGCTCTCTACGGGAGCAAGAAACGAGGTATAGTGTCAGCATACATCGAACACCACTGAGCCAATAACGTGCCAGATAGTACCTGACAGTTTCGGTCAGCGAGTTATTTTCTGTCGTCGGCTTCGATGCCGAGCTCCATAGAGTCACGATAGGAGCTTCTTGCGCGTCTGAAGATGTCCCTGGAACTATTGCGCCATCAAGCGCCGCTAGGCTTTCTGGATGAACCCATACTTCGTCCGACGTATTGTTTTGCAGTGTGCCTAAATCACCCTGTAAGCACGTCGCAGCCGTCAGTCATGTAACACAGCTATACCTATTTACTGGTATCGTACCTGGATAACCAACGGCGGCGATGGCTCATAGTACAGGTCAGGGCTCAATCCGTTCGATGTTGTCGGACTTCGACGCTCTTTCGGTGCTACAATAACCTCCGAGGCGGGAGTTAACCGAGCATATTCTCTGCAAAGAACTCGTGAACAAGCATGACATCAATTTGCATGCGTGGAAACCACCCCACAGCGTGACTATAGCACAAGTATAACTCACATTCCATCCGGGAGAGATGCCCTGATACAAATCAATGCGTTTTGGCTAACCCAAATCGGGATCACTTGTTTATCGTTGACCACGCACATCTGGCACCACGACGAAAGAAACGTTACGTATTCATACAACTATACGAAAAGTCATCGAATTGACAACTTCACCTGACGAAGCAGCTCCGTCTCAATTTTCCCTGCATGCAGTTGAATCAACTCCCAGTCATCAGGCGTACAAGGCTCTACACTCATCTGCCGAGCAATTGGCACTGCTTCGACCACATGCACTCCAACAAGTGACTGTGGCATTTTTTCCAAATGATCTTGCTAAATAGCAACAACAGGCAACAACAGGCAGCACGAGCGTCACACACTCATTAACAAAACCAGACAGACCCGACACCCTTGCACCACTTCCACGACCTTACAATCCCCAACCAGCGAGCGAATTTGATCGGTACTTCAATCACGTTGCTACAAAGTGTAAGTGACCAGAAAAGGATTTAAAACCACGTCACAACTCTCCACAACTTCCACATGTGGTGCCTCCGACCTGAGCAATGCACGAGTCTTCACAATTCCGCCAATCCATCCAACGCACACGCGTTGAACATCTCCGTCTATTGTGTCCCACGAAAGCTCTAGAATCGTCGACCCGTCCCTCACCTGGGCAAATCAGTACGGAATTAACATAAATCAGTACACAAGGAGTATGTCAGATTGCGACTGGACGCAGACGTACGAGCTTTGTGCCGCCCAAGAAGGTCTGCACGAATGTAAGTGGAAGATTCACATAGCAGCTGTTTATGGGTACAAGCACTGGCTGGAGGAAGGTACCGCGCGCCGCCATCGTCATGGGTATTCGTGTTAAGTACGGTTCTGATGACGTTTGTTGGTAGATTCGAGCAACGCTTCTGAGAGGATGACTGGACACGTACTTAAGACTTACAGTACCTAATGAGACCTAATGAAACTGATTCTGTACCTAGTGATGCCTAATAATACTGTACCTAGTGATGCCTGATAATACTGATGCTAAACCGAGTGATGCCGAATGATTACGTGTTGAAGTGAGATGTCGAACGTTGGATCGCTCAAGTTGACTTGACTACTGGACTACTGCACAAGATCGATGATGACGCGGAAACGCTGCCGTCTCACGAATACTTGCCCAACCTGATGCCCACTACTGAGGGGTGCGAGGAGACATAATCGATTATAGCACTTGACATGATGGAGCTGGAGGTGGCTCGAGTCCGAATGAGCGACTTATATAATTGTCGTCCGGGCTGATTGCCATACGCAGCGAGCGGGAGCGCTCAACCTTTTTTTTTAATGGGGGCGAGGCTCCGTTTTATATTCCTGTCAATGAGAGAACGAGACACTGCTATTGTGCTGACAGCAACTACGAGAATCTTGACTGGTACAAAGTGTCCCGTCCACTGTCTGGAACACATTGGAGCCACGTGTGCGGGCATCGGTGCCATGCTGGCTCCGCGGTCAGTGTTTCCATCTGGTCACCCGTGACGGAAGAAGAGTAGTGAAATCAGAGACGTCGAGTGCGTATCTTCCAGCTCATTCTGAGCATGGCGACAGTTGCGTTGCTGTACAAGGGAATGTGGTGGCTGTGTGCCAGGACGTTGCTCAAGAAGCTCTTGGTCACTTCGCCGTCCGGGAGTGTCAATCGAGACTTTGAGCAGATTTTCCAGCACACGGTGGGCGTCCAGCGCTTAAAAAGCAGATACTTGCAGACTCTGTGTAGTTGTGGGCGACTTCTTCATGGTTCGTCGGATGGCAAAGCAAAGCAAGTGTAACGGGGTGAATCGTTACATAACAATTTATAAGAAATTGTTAATAGAATTTAACTATAAGAGTCATATTCTCAGAATATTGTCATAAGGACAAATATTCTGTAGCACTTACGAGTAGTTCCTAATTGGTTGGTATAGGCCATTATATCAACCAACGAAGACACGCCACGACAGACGCACGCAATGAGTGGTGAGCAGATAGTTGATATGCACATTTGTATTTAGACATAGTTAGATGAAGATAAATAGTGATTTATTGTAGACATTAACTACTATAAATGCATTTCTACTTTTTACTTTAACAAAGTACTCGCTTCTTCTTACCGTCTTCCTCTGCACGTACCAGTGTACGTGAAGTTACGAGGCACCGCCTTATTCTGTCATCAGAATAAGTAGCTTGTACTTTGGAAGCTTCAGGGGTGCCCCGTTACACCTGGTAGCACTTTGTAGTCCGTCCAAGGACCACGTTCACATCTAACATGAATATGTTGAATGATGAAGGTGACCAAAGCTTTCACGCTACGCGTGACGGCTACTCCCATTTGAGCGATGTCGAATGGGATGCGGTTGAACGGATGGGTTCAACCATGGGCATCCATGCTGTTAGCGTCATGCTAGAGGCTCTCAATAGAGATGCCCAACATGCTACTATCGCCAAGTTCATTCAAAATGAACTTGACTCTGAACGCGAGAAAGTATCCTTGCTTCACCAACAAGGTTCTCAACAAGCAGAGTTGTTGAGAGAACAGGGTGATCAACAGTTTGAACTGTTGAGACAGCAGCAGGCTGATGCTGGTGGGTCGATGCACTCACGTCGACCCGAAACCTTGAAGATTGACATCTCCAAGTATAGGGGAGTCGAAGAGGACTCCCTCTTGAGATGGTTCGTCGAATTGGATGACGCCATAAGGGCGCGTCGCATCGACGACGGGGATATGCAAGTTGCATTTGCCCAGTCAAATCTGGCAGGACGTGCCAAGACTTGGGCACTGGGGCTCAAGTTTCACGGCCCATATATATGCGTTTGGGTCGTTGGAAGTCTTCAAGTCGCGGCTCAGACAAACGTTTGAACCGCCTAGAGCTGAGTTCAAAGATCGAACCGAACTCTTGAAGCTCAAGCAGGGTAAGCGTGATGTGCACGCTTACGCTCAACATATACGACACCTCACGAGTTGTATAAGTTCCAATCCGGTGGATGAACACACGTTGGTTTCGGTGTTCATGCAGGGTCTTGCGGATGGTCCCGTCAAGACTCACCTGTTCCGGCTTGAACTAGATTCACTAGAACAAGCCATTTCCATTGCGGAGCAGGAAGACTTCAGTCTAAGACAGGCTCGCGCCACTCGACATCATATCGTCAACCGAGACGATATGACAGCGGAGGTCCAGAGCCGATGGAACTCTGTTATGTAGAGAGCGAGAAGGCTCGCTCTACAGGCTACAAGAAGTTGCAGAGATACAACGGATGTCAAAAGACAGGACACTACGCTTACGAGTGTAGTGCCCCTCGTCCAGTGTCTCGCGACACTGGGCGTAGTGACCGTCCACCCATGAGAAAGGGACAGGGACGAGGGTCCGCTGTTGGTGCAAAGACGCAACAACGGGATGGACCGTCAAAAACGGACAGGATCAGTAGGTGCGGAGCACCCTACTGGTCCAGCAACGTCAAGAGAATTTGTAGGCCTCTTGATGAAGGTTGCTCCCAACACGCAAACGTTGTGCGTTGCTGCTCTAAGTAATGAGGTCTCACTCATTACCTTGAAACTCGAAGTGACGAATAAGTTGTCCCTTCGAGCTCTAGTCGATTGTGGGGCGTCCAACAATTTTGTGCGACGCCAATTGATAGAAGATGGTCACTTTAAGTTCAGTGAATGTGACACACCTCCTACGAGGATGACGGTACGTCTTGCGACAAGCGCATCCGTAACCGTCATGAAGCGTATAGTGAAGATCCACCATACGCTAGAAGATACCCAATATGATGATGACTTCATCGTATTGGATTTGGATGACAAATTTGATGTCATCCTTGGAATACCGTGGCTCAGAAGGTACGAACCACGAGTAAACTGGCAACATCGAACAGTAACGATGCCTGCCGCTTGTTCATCAGATGGCCATCTGATGAACGTTTTGGAGCGTCCACAAGCGTGTGGATGTACTACGAGTGAGTGCGATGGCCTCACTTGTGGTACGGTCGTTAGTACGACTGCACAAAACCTTAGTGTACCAAATGGTTACACTTCGGAGCAAAGTTCCGGCGGCTGTGAGGAAACACAGGCTGCGCCGAAGGTCTACCACTCGAATAAGTCGGGTGGACTGGGACAAAAATGTATCCCTAGCGGGTAACATCTAGAAGAGAAAAGATCGATCGCTCAGGTTAAGCGAAACGATAATCCTAGATCGACTGGAGAGTCTTTCGTAGAGGATATCGCTGTGGTTGCGCAACCCCAGCTAGAGGAACTAAAGGGAATAAGTCCCAAGATTACAAATACGGCGGAAATAAGTTCCCCGAAACCCGCGGGAATAAGTCCCCGGGAAGCCGAAGGAATAAGTCCTTCGAAGCCTGAGGGAATAAGTCCCCAGGAAATGACAGATACATTGAATGTCATAGTCAATAACGGATCAAGTGTAGGCTCTTATACACTTGATCTGATTGCGCCTCCGAAGTTGACTTCGGAGATCACTCAGTTGCCAACGCTCGAACATAAAAGGTTCTTGCGTGATCTGCGTAGTGGCAAAGTCAAGCAGATCTGCGTACTCGTCGCTGACGACGAGTGTGTAACCGACATAAGGTCAGCAACAGTGTTTACTGAGAACGATAGAGTTCTCAGTAGTTCATCTATGGACGAGAGCGTCCTAGATGAAAAGACACGAGATTGAGCGATATGACTCCCAATCGTGGGAATCGCTCAAGACAAATCCTCTCTATGAAGATTTGGTTGAATTCAAGGATGTATTCCCTGAAACTGTTCCGTGCGAATTACCGAAGGATAAAGGTATTCGACACGAGGTCGAGCTTAAACCAGGCTCGAAGTACTGTGTCATGAAGCAGTGGCCACTGCCTCGTGAACAAGTACTTGCGATCGACAAGCTCTTTGCCGATCGTTTAGCTTCCGGGCCATGTGAGGGAATCAACTTCCCCACATAGCTCTCCGACCTTCTGTGTGCGAAAAGCAACAGGAGGGTGGCGGATAGTGCACGCGTTCAACAAATTACACGCTGCAACGGTACCGGCTCAGACGCCGATACCGAGGAAGGACGTAATCATTGATGGTATGTCAAAGAGTACCATCTTTTCGTCCATGGATTTGATGGATGGCTTCTATCAAATCCTTATGCGAGAACAGGATATACCCTATACCGCAGTTAGCACGCCTAGCGGCATGCTCTGGGAATGGCTAGTAATGCCACAAGGGCTTAGTAATGCCCCTGCCACGTTCAACAGACGTGTATCACATCTGTTGAGACCAGTACGAGAATTCGCGCCGAGTTATTTCGATGACGTATTCATCCATAGTCGAGCTATGGATGGAAAGTCGGACGTTGAGGCTCACAGGTACCACGTCCGACAGGTTCTTACAATCATGCGAAAGCATCAATTGTATGCTAACCTCCAAGAAGTGTATATTTGCAGCAAGCGAAATACCACTTCTTGGGTGCATCGTTAGTAAGAACGGTGTACGTCCTGATCCCGAAAAGATCAAGGCGATCACCGACTGGCCTGTGCCGGTTGATGTCAAAGGTCTTCGAAAATTCCTTGGGCTAGCGGCGTATTTGCATAAGTATTCACGCAATTACGTCGAGATGACTGTGCACCTCTCTCGTTTGTTGAAAAGAACGAGAGGTGGTTATGCTGAATGTCAGCGCTCCTTTGAGGGTATCAAGCAGAGCTTGATACAATTCCCATTCCTAGCAATAGCCGATCAGGACAGGCCATTTCATGTGGTCTGTGATGCCAGCGATTTCGCAATCGGCTGTGCATTAATGCAGTACGATCTTGAAGGCGTTGAACGCGTCGTCTGCTATCAGTCGCGTCAGCTGCAACCAGCTGAGCAGAACTATCCAGTGCATGACAAGGAACTCCTTGCCATGAAGTATGCACTCGCGAAGTTCAGAGTCTATCTATTAGGAGATAGACCCTTCATTGTTTACACTGACCATGCGTCATTACGCACGGCAGTGAACAGCCCGCACCTTTCACAACGAATGGCGCGGTGGTTGTCATTCTTTGCGGAATACAACTTTACGGTCGAGTACAAACCAGGACGACTTAATGTCGTCGCTGATGCACTCTCACGTCGTCCCGACTTTGAACCAGTCGTGCAACCCACCAGTGAGACAGCCACTGTTGCGGTTATGACGTCCTCAGTCCCATCTACAACGTTGTATGATGATGTGAGTCGGGTATACGCCCAAGATGGTGAGATAGTGAAGTTGTTGACACATCTCTCCCAACCATCTCAAGAATCGTTGAAACGATTGTCGCCTGCGTATCGATCTGCATCAGATCGATACACTACTCGTAACGGTTTACTGTATTATACAGCCGTTTCTGGTGACACACCACGTGTTGTCATTCCAGATGATACTGATCTGCGTTTGCGGATCATGTTCGAGTATCACGATGCTCCTATAGGAGGACATCGTGGCCGACAAAAAACGTATCTCACGGTGAGTCGAGACTTTTACTGGCCCCGCCAGTATCAGTTTGTGCGAAAGTATGTTCGCGCATGCGAAGTCTGCCAACGAGTGAAGTCAATTCCTTCACTGCGTGCACCTTTACAGCCTCTACCGGTTCCGGCTGAGTGCTGGGAATCCATCTCAATGGATTTTGTCTTCAGGCTACCCAAAGACGCACGCGGGAATACGGGTATTCTCGTATTTGTTGACAGATTCAGCAAAATGGTACACCTCGTGGCTGTACCAGAGACAATCACGGCAAGTGGCTATGCTTGTGTCTTTATTGACACCATCTTCCGACTTCATGGGTTGCCCCGTGAACTCGTATCAGACAGAGATCCACGATTCACTGCTGATTTCTGGCGTTCCGTGTTCAAATCACTCGGAACGCGCTTGAAGATGTCGACATCTGATCATCCAGAGTCAGATGGTCAGACGGAACGTGCCAATCGTGTCCTCGAAGAGATACTTCGAGGATACGTACACTCCTTTAAGAGTTGGAGTGAGTTTTTGCCTATGGTAGAGTTTGCCATCAACAACTCGGTGCATGCGTCCACGACACATACACCGTTTTACGTGAATGGCTTGCGCCATCCGCGTGTACCCACCTTACTAGAGTGTAACTCTGGTTGTAGGGGGGAGGGACTCGCGCGAGCAAAAACCGATTTGGTTCACGCTCATCACGCTCTGACAAAGAGGTCATTGCGTTTGATGCCGATATCGATGTTATCGATATCGAAGAAGATGATGCCAGTGAGAGTGCGGGAGCCCTCACTGAAGAAGAGGTTGATGTTGCTGCAGTGCGCTCACAGCGCACTGAAGCTAACGAGTCATCAGATGAGTTCATACTGGCTCGTGAAACGGTAGTCCGATTTGTGCAAGACTCCATCGCCGAAGCGGTGGATAAGCAAAAGCAAAACGCTGACAAGAATGGAAGGGCCAACACTCTAAATTTAATAAAGGTGACTTAGTCCTACTGTCTACGGTTAATCTACCAAAGCATGTGGATACTAACTTGGGTAGCAGTAAACTACTACCCAAGTACATCGGCCCATTTCGTGTGTTGCACCGCCTAGGCAATGCATACACGATCGAGTTACCACGTAAGATGCGAACGCATCCCACGTTTTACGTTGGTCGGCTTAAGCCGTACCATCAGTACGCTGCTTCTTCCGATGAAGAACGCCCTTGCGCTCAAGAATCTTACAGAGAGCCTTGTGCTACCGATGGTGGGCATCGACAAGGGTCTGAAGAGCAGCTATCTCATCCCGAGACCGATCAACAATCCCACGAGCTACCCTTAGCTCGTCACGAAGAAATTTCAGAGCTCTCTCGTTCTCAAGCTGAGCAAAGGCAAACTCAGCTCGATGCTTTGAGGCAGTGTCCGCCAGTTGAAGACGCCTATTTCGTTTAATTCGAGATCGTCGAGTAACCCTTGCGTTACGCGATCAAAGAAGCTCTCGGGAACACACCGATCCACATGATCGTGTGGAGAGCGTCTTCATTCCTTCTCCAACTCCTTTGGAGGAATCTCGCGGTGGCCAGCGCAATCGGATTGAGCGGCTGTTGAACCACCGCGATGTGAACGGACGTCGGACGAGTTATCTCGTCCGATGGCGCGGCTATCCCCCGTCCTGGGATTCTTGGGAGCCCCGCTCCCAACTGATGATCGACGTACTGGGTCTGGTTGAGCAGTACGACGCGGCACATCCTGTGCCGCAGAAGGATGCCGGAGAAAGTCATCCCGGCACGGTCATAAAGGGATTTCAGGTTGTCAATCCCTTCGTACATCTGAGTAGAGACATGCACGCGCCACCATGGGCTGTTAGGGAGGTAAGCCTCCTAAGTGCTCGTGCAGAGTTGTTCACACAACAAGGGCACGGGTCTCCCCAGGAAAGACAGTGTAATCCCTTTTCCCTTGACAGACGATGCAGCTTGTAGCGTGCACCTGTCGGGGTTCGCTTTTCAAACTCATCACGAGCTTTGATAAGTTTGTCGTTTCAAGCGTCACGACCTACATCCTCAAGGTTATGGAGGTAGGCGTTCCACGCCTGAAGCAGTGAGGGACCATCACGCTTGTGATTCCCACTGTACCATCGATGTCTAAAGAAAGCATCGATGAAGAATTCATTCTCAGCGCGATAGGTTTTCGCGCTGGGGTCAAGGTGACGGATCCTTGACGAATCGAACAATCGTGTTCGATAACGATCACTCGTCGTCGCCGACAAGTGATCCATGACGGATTTAGGAGGCATCCATGCCTTCTTCTCAGGAGCGAGACGTAACACACTGCGGTCCCGCTCTTCCTGCGATGTGCCGACAGAAGTACTGGTACCTCGTTGCGAAGTGGTGTCCAAAGGAGAACCGACACCACTGTTATTGCCTGAGTCTCGCGACCTCGAGCGCCTACGCTTCGGCGATGGTTCATCTGTTTCGTCAGATGAACCAAAGATGCTACGACGCAAAGCATCATCCATGCCACGCTTGGCAGGCGGCTTGGATTCGATCGCCGTCGATACGGATCCGTCTTCCGTATCAGGAGAGTACGAGACACCGAGCTCGTACTCTGTGAAGACATGAGTGTCTTCATGACCAGCGCCTGCATCACCAAGTGACACAGGCTGGGTCGCTTCAGCAACCGAGGAGACATCAGTTGCTGTGGTTTCTGCTTCGGCGTCCGTACAGAGACGTGCGGACGCGCTCTCGGCGGCCTTGCTCGCGCATCGCATGGGCTTGTTAACCATGCGATGAAATGTTGGGAAGTGGACTCGGACCAACAAGTGCAAACCCCGTCCCAAATGATTTGGGACGAGTATCCATTTAGTCAATCAGTCACTAAAGTGACTGATGGCTAAGGGGGGGGGTGATGTAACGGGGTGAATCGTTACATAACAATTTATAAGAAATTGTTAATAGAATTTAACTATAAGAGTCATATTCTCAGAATATTGTCATAAGGACAAATATTCTGTAGCACTTACGAGTAGTTCCTAATTGGTTGATATAGGCCATTATATCAACCAACGAAGACGCGCCACGACAGACGCACGCAATGAGTGGTGAGCAGATATTTCATTTACACATCTGTATTCAGACATAGTTAGATGAAGATAAATAGTGATTTATTGCAGACACTAACTATTATAAATACAGTTCTACTTTTTACTTTTACCAAGTGCTCGCTTCTTCTTACCGTCTTCCTCTGCACGTACCAGTGTACGTGAAGTTACGAGGCACCGCCTTATTCTGTCATCAGAATAAGTAGCTTGTACTGTGACCAGTACAAGCTTCAGGGTGCCCCGTTACAGCAAGTCATCGCAAGGATTGCATTACCCCGTTGATCTATTTACACCTACAAGGTCAAAGTCTCCTCTTCTTTCTGTCTTCGTGTCTCCGAAAGCTTCATCCATCACCACTAATGAAAGGGATCAGCGCCACTTCGTCTCCATCCCTCAGTGCCACGTCGTCGTCAGAGCACTTAAGGTTTCGTGCAAACGTGATGCTTCCAATCGTGGACCCAACGTGTGGGTACTTGTCGAGTAGCAGAAAGCGCAATGACGCTAGCGTGATGTTGCTCTCGTCCGGTAGCTGTAGATTATTCTTGTAACGGGGCACCCTCAAGCTTGTACTGATGACAGTACAAGCTTCTTATTCCGATGACAGAACAAGGCGGTGCCGCGTAACTTCACGTACACTGGTACGTGCAGAGGAAGACGGTAAGAAGAAGCGAGTACTTTGTTAAAGTAAAAAGTATAACTGTATTTATAGTAGTTAATGTCTGCAATAAATCACTATTTATCTTCATCTAACTATGTCTAAATACAGATGTGTAAATGAAATATCTGCTCACCACTCATTGCGTGCGTCTGTCGTGGCGCGTCTTCGTTGGTTGATATAATGGCCTATATCAACCAATTAGGAACTACTCGTAAGTGCTACAGAATATTTGTCCTTATGACAATATTCTGAGAATATGACTCTTATAGTTAAATTCTATTAACAATTTCTTTTAAATTGTTATGTAACGATTCACCCCGTTACATCACCCCCCCTTAGCCATCAGTCACTTTAGTGACTGATTGACTTAATGGATACTCGTCCCAAATCATTTGGGACAGGGTTTGCACTTGTTGGTCCGAGTCCACTTCCCAACATTTCATCGCATGGTTAACAAGCCCATGCGATGCGCGAGCAAGGCCGCCGAGAGCGCGTCCGCACGTCTCTGTACGGACGCCGAAGCAGAAACCACAGCAACTGGTGTCTCTTCGGTTGCTGAAGCGACCCAGCCTGTGTCACTTGGTGATGCAGGCGCTGGTCATGAAGACACTCATGTCTTCACAGAGTACGAGCTCGGTGTCTCGTACTCTCCTGATACGGAAGACGGATCCGTATCGACGGCGATCGAATCCAAGCCGCCTGCCAAGCGTGGCATGGATGATGCTTTGCGTCGTAGCATCTTTGGTTCATCTGACGAAACAGATGAACCATCGCCGAAGCGTAGGCGCTCGAGGTCGCGAGACTCAGGCAATAACAGTGGTGTCGGTTCTCCTTTGGACACCACTTCGCAACGAGGTACCAGTACTTCTGTCGGCACATCGCAGGAAGAGCGGGACCGCAGTGTGTTACGTCTCGCTCCTGAGAAGAAGGCATGGATGCCTCCTAAATCCGTCATGGATCACTTGTCGGCGACGACGAGTGATCGTTATCGAACACGATTGTTCGATTCGTCAAGGATCCGTCACCTTGACCCCAGCGCGAAAACCTATCGCGCTGAGAATGAATTCTTCATCGATGCTTTCTTTAGACATCGATGGTACAGTGGGAATCACAAGCGTGATGGTCCCTCACTGCTTCAGGCGTGGAACGCCTACCTCCATAACCTTGAGGATGTAGGTCGTGACGCTTGAAACGACAAACTTATCAAAGCTCGTGATGAGTTTGAAAAGCGAACCCCGACAGGTGCACGCTACAAGCTGCATCGTCTGTCAAGGGAAAAGGGATTACACTGTCTTTCCTGGGGAGACCCGTGCCCTTGTTGTGTGAACAACTCTGCGCGCGCGCCTAAGGAGGCTTACCTCCCTAACAGCCCATGGTGGCGCGTGCGTGTCTCTACTCAGATGTACGAAGGGATTGACAACCTGAAATCCCTTTATGACCGTGCCGGGATGACTTTCTCTAGCGGCATCCTTCTGCGGCACAGGATGTGCCGCGTCGTACTGCTCAACCAGACCCAGTACGTCGATCATCAGTTGGGAGCGGGGCTCCCAAGAATCCCAGGACGGGGGATAGCCGCGCCACCGGACGAGATAACTCGTCCGACGTCCGTTCACATCGCGGTGGTTCAACAGCCGCTCAATCCGATTGCGCTGGCCACCGCGAGATTCCTCCAAAGGAGTTGGAGAAGGAATGAAGACGCTCTCCAGCTATCGTGGGGGAGCGTGTGTCTCCGAGAGCCTCTTTGATCGCGTAACGCAAGCGTTACGCGGTGACCTCGAACATGAGCGGGACAGGCGTCTTCAACTGGCGTACACTGTCTCAAAGCATCGAGATGAGTTTGCCTTTGCTCAGCTTGAGAACGAGAGAGCTCTGAAATTTCTTCGTGACGAGCTAAGGGTAGCTCGTGGGATTGTTGATCGGTCTCGGGCTGAGATAACTGCTCTTCAGACCCTTGTCGATGCCCACCATCGGTAGCACAAGGCTCTCTGTAAGATTCTTGAGCGCAAGGGCGTTCTTCATCGGAAGAAGCAGCGTACTGATGGTACGGCTTAAGCCGACCAACGTAAAACGTGGGATGCGTTCGCATCTTACGTGGTAACTCGATCGTGTATGCATTGCCTAGGCGGTGCAACACACGAAATGGGCCGATGTACTTGGGTAGTAGTTTACTGCTACCCAAGTTAGTATCCACATGCTTTGGTAGATTAACCGTAGACAGTAGGACTAAGTCACCTTTATTAAATTTAGAGTGTTGGCCCTTCCATTCTTGTCAGCGTTTTGCTTTTGCTTATCCACCGCTTCGGCGATGGAGTCTTGCACAAATCGGACTACCGTTTCACGAGCCAGTATGAACTCATCTGATGACTCGTTAGCTTCAGTGCGCTGTGAGCGCACTGCAGCAACATCAACCTTTTCTTCAGTGAGGGCTTCCGCGCTCTCACTGGCATCATCTTCTTCGATATCGATGTTATCGATATCGGCATCAAACGCAATGACCTCTTTGTCAGAGCGTGATGAGCGTGAACCAAATCGGTTTTTGCTCGCGCGAGTCCCTCCCCCCTACAACCAGAGTTACACTCTAGTAAGGTGGGTACACGCGGATGGCGCAAGCCATTCACGTAAAACGGTGTATGTGTCGTGGACGCATGCACCGAGTTGTTGATGGCAAACTCTACCATAGGCAAAAACTCACTCCAACTCTTAAAGGAGTGTACGTATCCTCGAAGTATCTCTTCGAGGACACGATTGGCACGTTCCGTCTGACCATCTGACTCTGGATGATCAGATGTCGACATCTTCAAGCGCGTTCCGAGTGATTTGAACACGGAACGCCAGAAATCAGCAGTGAATCGTGGATCTCTGTCTGATACGAGTTCACGGGGCAACCCATGAAGTCGGAAGATGGTGTCAATAAAGACACAAGCATAGCCACTTGCCGTGATTGTCTCTGGTACAGCCACGAGGTGTACCATTTTGCTGAATCTGTCAACAAATACGAGAATACCCGTATTCCCGCGTGCGTCTTTGGGTAGCCTGAAGACAAAATCCATTGAGATGGATTCCCAGCACTCAGCCGGAACCGGTAGAGGCTGTAAAGGTGCACGCAGTGAAGGACTTGACTTCACTCGTTGGCAGACTTCGCATGCGCGAACATACTTTCGCACAAACTGATACTGGCGGGGCCAGTAAAAGTCTCGACTCACCGTGAGATACGTTTTCTGTCGGCCACGATGTCCTCCTATAGGAGCATCGTGATACTCGAACATGATCCGCAAACGCAGATCAGTATCATCTGGAATGACAACACGTGGTGTGTCACCAGAAACGGCTGTATAATACAGTAAACCGTTACGAGTAGTGTATCGATCTGATGCAGATCGATACGCAGGCGACAATCGTTTCAACGATTCTTGAGATGGTTGGGAGAGATGTGTCAACAACTTCACTATCTCACCATCTTGGGCGTATACCCGACTCACATCATCATACAACGTTGTAGATGGGACTGAGGACGTCATAACCGCAACAGTGACTGTCTCACTGGTGGGTTGCACGACTGGTTCAAAGTCGGGACGACGTGAGAGTGCATCAGCGACGACATTAAGTCGTCCTGGTTTGTACTCGACCGTAAAGTTGTATTCCGCAAAGAATGACAACCACCGCGCCATTCGTTGTGAAAGGTGCGGGCTGTTCACTGCCGTGCGTAATGACGCATGGTCAGTGTAAACAATGAAGGGTCTATCTCCTAATAGATAGACTCTGAACTTCGCGAGTGCATACTTCATGGCAAGGAGTTCCTTGTCATGCACTGGATAGTTCTGCTCAGCTGGTTGCAGCTGACGCGACTGATAGCAGACGACGCGTTCAACGCCTTCAAGATCGTACTGCATTAATGCACAGCCGATTGCGAAATCGCTGGCATCACAGACCACATGAAATGGCCTGTCCTGATCGGCTATTGCTAGGAATGGGAATTGTATCAAGCTCTGCTTGATACCCTCAAAGGAGCGCTGACATTCAGCATAACCACCTCTCGTTCTTTTTCAACAAACGAGAGAGGTGCACAGTCATCTCGACGTAATTGCGTGAATACTTATGCAAATACGCCGCTAGCCCAAGGAATTTTCGAAGACCTTTGACATCAACCGGCACAGGCCAGTCGGTGATCGCCTTGATCTTTTCGGGATCAGGACGTACACCGTTCTTACCAACGATGCACCCAAGAAGTGGTATTTCGCTTGCTGCAAATATACACTTCTTGAGGTTAGCATACAATTGATGCTTTCGCATGATTGTAAGAACCTGTCGGACGTGGTACCTGTGAGCCTCAACGTCCGACTTTCCATCCATAGCTCGACTATGGATGAATACGTCATCGAAATAACTCGGCGCGAATTCTCGTACTGGTCTCAACAGATGTGATACACGTCTGTTGAACGTGGCAGGGGCATTACTAAGCCCTTGTGGCATTACTAGCCATTCCCAGAGCATGCCGCTAGGCGTGCTAACTGCGGTATAGGGTATATCCCGTTCTCGCATAAGGATTTGATAGAAGCCATCCATCAAATCCATGGACGAAAAGATGGTACTCTTTGACATACCATCAATGATTACGTCCTTCCTCGGTATCGGCGTCTGAGCCGGTACCGTTGCAGCGTGTAATTTGTTGAACGCGTGCACTATCCGCCACCCTCCTGTTGCTTTTCGCACACAGAAGGTCGGAGAGCTATGTGGGGAAGTTGATTCCCTCACATGGCCCGAAGCTAAACGATCGGCAAAGAACTTGTCGATCGCAAGTACTTGTTCACGAGGCAGTGGCCACTGCTTCATGACACAGTACTTCGAGCCTGGTTTAAGCTCGACCTCGTGTCGAATACCTTTATCCTTTGGTAATTCGCACGGAACAGTTTCAGGGAATACATCCTTGAATTCAACCAAATCTTCATAGAGAGGATTTGTCTTGAGCGATTCCCACGATTGGGAGTCATATCGCTCAATTCGTGTCTTTTCATCTAGGACGCTCTCGTCCATAGATGAACTACTGAGAACTCTATCGTTCTCAGTAAACACTGTTGCTGACCTTATGTCGGTTACACACTCGTCGTCAGCGACGAGTACGCAGATCTGCTTGACTTTGCCACTACGCAGATCACGCAAGAACCTTTTATGTTCGAGCGTTGGCAACTGAGTGATCTCCGAAGTCAACTTCGGAGGCGCAATCAGATCAAGTGTATAAGAGCCTACACTTGATCCGTTATTGACTATGACATTCAATGTATCTGTCATTTCCTGGGGACTTATTCCCTCAGGCTTCGAAGGACTTATTCCTTCGGCTTCCCGGGGACTTATTCCCGCGGGTTTCGGGGAACTTATTTCCGCCGTATTTGTAATCTTGGGACTTATTCCCTTTAGTTCCTCTAGCTGGGGTTGCGCAACCACAGCGATATCCTCTACGAAAGACTCTCCAGTCGATCTAGGATTATCGTTTCGCTTAACCTGAGCGATCGATCTTTTCTCTTCTAGATGTTACCCGCTAGGGATACATTTTTGTCCCAGTCCACCCGACTTATTCGAGTGGTAGACCTTCGGCGCAGCCTGTGTTTCCTCACAGCCGCCGGAACTTTGCTCCGAAGTGTAACCATTTGGTACACTAAGGTTTTGTGCAGTCGTACTAACGACCGTACCACAAGTGAGGCCATCGCACTCACTCGTAGTACATCCACACGCTTGTGGACGCTCCAAAACGTTCATCAGATGGCCATCTGATGAACAAGCGGCAGGCATCGTTACTGTTCGATGTTGCCAGTTTACTCGTGGTTCGTACCTTCTGAGCCACGGTATTCCAAGGATGACATCAAATTTGTCATCCAAATCCAATACGATGAAGTCATCATCATATTGGGTATCTTCTAGCGTATGGTGGATCTTCACTATACGCTTCATGACGGTTACGGATGCGCTTGTCGCAAGACGTACCGTCATCCTCGTAGGAGGTGTGTCACATTCACTGAACTTAAAGTGACCATCTTCTATCAATTGGCGTCGCACAAAATTGTTGGACGCCCCACAATCGACTAGAGCTCGAAGGGACAACTTATTCGTCACTTCGAGTTTCAAGGTAATGAGTGAGACCTCATTACTTAGAGCAGCAACGCACAACGTTTGCGTGTTGGGAGCAACCTTCATCAAGAGGCCTACAAATTCTCTTGACGTTGCTGGACCAGTAGGGTGCTCCGCACCTACTGATCCTGTCCGTTTTTGACGGTCCATCCCGTTGTTGCGTCTTTGCACCAACAGCGGACCCTCGTCCCTGTCCCTTTCTCATGGGTGGACGGTCACTACGCCCAGTGTCGCGAGACACTGGACGAGGGGCACTACACTCGTAAGCGTAGTGTCCTGTCTTTTGACATCCGTTGTATCTCTGCAACTTCTTGTAGCCTGTAGAGCGAGCCTTCTCGCTCTCTACATAACAGAGTTCCATCGGCTCTGGACCTCCGCTGTCATATCGTCTCGGTTGACGATATGATGTCGAGTGGCGCGAGCCTGTCTTAGACTGAAGTCTTCCTGCTCCGCAATGGAAATGGCTTGTTCTAGTGAATCTAGTTCAAGCCGGAACAGGTGAGTCTTGACGGGACCATCCGCAAGACCCTGCATGAACACCGAAACCAACGTGTGTTCATCCACCGGATTGGA